AGAAGGATTCTGGAAGAAACGATATATATAATGATGTACAAAAACAAAAGAAATCAATAAAGGTGTGTTTAAAAAAAAAAAGAAAGAGAGAATAAAGACGCAGAACAAGATACTTTCCAACACAGCCAATGCGTTTGTTGACTTATCCTTATTTGTTACAAGAAAGGACTGGAGATAGTTAATGGGTTAGTAACAGAAATGCAAAAAGAGACATCAATAAAACATTTAAAACACATGGAACAAAACAAAAAGAAGTTACAAAGAAGAGCATAAATGAACAGTGTAATTTTATTACTATCTTGTTAAACTTTATATACACTTTTTAATGACAAACTATAACAAGAGAAGTTCAGTTTCATATAAAATCTTTTTATTCTGTGTATGTTGCAATGACGATTATTAAATTCATAATTTTAAAAATATTTTAAAAGAACTAAATTCAGCAGGAAATGAAGTTCACAACTCCGACATTTAACCCAAACTGACTAGTTTATTGTCAGTTAGATGTTCTTCCAAACTATTATAAATGATTTAACAACAATGCCTAATACAATAATCAACAATGAAAACTACTATGTCAATACTTAAATCTATTTGTAGTCATTTTGATGTTTAATTACTAGATCAATCTAAGAAAGCAAACAAGACATGTTTCAATACATGTTTTCTTTTACCACTTCTTACATATGTAAATAACATATCAGGTTTTAATTAATTTTTTCACTATGATGTTGGTAAGTCTCTCAAAGACAGAGCTAAATTTGACTTTAGCAACATATTAATAGTATTCTACAAATCAGCTTTGGAAAGTAAAGATGGAGGCTGTTTATTATACAGTGCTTGGTGCTATGTAAGTGGAGGCTGAAGCAAGTCAGGCAGGTTGAGTGTGAGTTCAGCCCATTCCCTAAGGACCAAATCACCAAGAATTACTTTCTGGTCTCCAAACTCCAAAAGTAGCAGGGGGACTACTCAAATTCATCACGGATTCAGAGCCTCAAAGGTAATGATAGGGCACCAGTGCTTCCAGGGTCTCTGAGGCTGAAAGCTGAGTGCTAGCATTACAAAGGGATGTCTTTTGGGTATGCTTCAACTAATTCCATCTTGGGAGCAGGTTGATGGTTAAGGAGAGACTGAAGAAGAAATAGAAAGAAGTTACTAGAGTGGAAACCCACAGGAAGGGGGTCATAGCTTCGGATGAAGTTAGCAGGGACTTCCCTGCTGCACAAAACATGTCCAAGTCTCCCACTCTTTAAAAATTCAACTTGATCCTGCCATTACTTCAAACTCTTGTCCTATGGCTCTTTTACCTTTCACAGTAATGAAGTCTCTTCCTATCCTCCCACAGTTCAATGTGAAATTGTTTGTTTTCCTATCTTCCTACTATAAAGGCACAAATAAAATGTAAGATTTTTCAGGACATTTCCAGCACTCTGCATACAGCCCATGTCTAAAATGTCCACTGAATTAAAACTAAAGGGTCATTATGAAATATCCAATGAAATTTCAGTACTCTAAAAAAAATTAAAAGTAATCAGAAATAACAGAGGCCTTAAGAAGAGTAAAGCTCTTCTTTTCCTGTAAAAAGAGAAATAAAAAGAGAGAAGAAAAAATTCTACGTAAATTAAGATAATCTAGATGAAACTTCTTTTATAATTGTACTCTGAACCAGGCTGTTCTAGCAATACAGAAAAAGAAAGCAGTTAAGTTTCCATCAAAATTCTCCTTAACATATCCTGTTAATATAATTACAAACTTGACCATGAAGAAATTTTCCACAATTATGTATTGTGCCTGGAGAATGATTTATAAGTCAAAAGAAGACATTATATGCCAATTTGTCCAAGATCTAAGAAGTGACTTTGCCCATGGGCAAAGTCCTATATCAAACCATGAATCTTTCCTATGAAATACTATTTCAGACTACCTCCTAAATCTTGCATAGCAATTTACAAAACTCACCGGTTAAATTTTTAACATATTATCAGAGAATTCCAGCAGATTCAATGATTTTTAATGATGCAGACAGATGTCTATTAGAAAGTCATATCAATGAATGAACTCATCTTGATTAGATCATTAAAAAACTTGAAAGATGACAGAATTAAAACCATGTGGTTTCACTACACAGATTTAGAAATATGCAAAATCCAGGGAGAAGTGTAAAAAAAAAAAACAGACTATTATTCACCTTCACAATATTTTTTGAAAGCAATATAGTCAAGATTAGACTAGACTGTCTCCAAGCTGACTTCCAATACTAAAATTCTTTAAGTTTATGCTCAGATAAAACATTTTACCATGTCAGCATGTGTGTGCATATGTGTGTGTGTGTGCGCACATACACACACACACATATACCCTTTATAGCTCAAATAACAACATGATCACAGAAGGGGAAAATTTTGACTTATAAAAAGAAAGTTTAAAGGTTATTATAGTTTCTATTGAACCACCTCTGAGACCTAAGTAAATAATTCAGAATTTTCTAAGTAAACTTCTGCCATTCTCTGTGAGGGCTGCCTCAGAAATGCCACAGACTGACTGCTCTACTAATTTTGCAAATAAGACAAACTTCCTTTGATTTAAAAAAAAAAAAAAGCAACATTTTTCCTGACAAAATGATGTGAGGAATGAGGCAAGAAGTCATTTATTAAAAACAAGTAGTAGAATAGAGAGCTGACCTAGTCCCTGGTGTCGCCACCTCTCACTCATAATGGCTGTATGATGCTGGTAAAATCCCTTCACCTCTCAAATGCCCCAGGAGACTCTAAGACTATAAATTGCAGAAGAATGGTTGATCTGCAATTGGTAAGAAGTTTCCTCAAAAGCAAGTTTCCTATATTAGTGAAATCAATGTTCTATGCTCAAGTTTCTTAAGCAGCAAACTTTCTAAATAAGGGTGAAAAAAAAGAGGTTGCATTAAGTTTCACCTATGGAGATCAATCAATCATTAAACATTTGTTAGGCACCTACTATGTTCTAAGTGCTAGAGATACAAAAAGAGGTGATTACAATCTAACGGGGGAAATAACATGCAAGTAAACATACAAAGCAAGCTACATGCAAGATAAATAAGAAATAATTAACAGAGGGAAAGCACTAGAAATAAGATGGGTTAGGGAAGGCTTCCTGTGGAAGGTAGAATTTTAGTCGGGATTCAAAAGAAGCCAAGGAGGCCAGAGTGGAGAGGGAAGGGCATTCCAAGCATGAGAGATAGAGCAAATGCCTAGAGCTGAGAGATGGAGTGTCTTGTTCATGGAACAGCTAGGAGGCCACTGTCACTAGATCAGAGTATGTGGGGGAGAGTAAGGTGTAAAAAGACTGGAAAAGTAGGAGGGGTCTAAGTTAGGAAGAGCTTTGAATGCCAAAAAGAGGATTTTGCATTTGATCCTGGAGGCAACAGGAAGTCACTGGAGTTTACTAAGTTGGGGGAAGGGGGAAGAAAGGGTGGTGGTGAGGTGATCAGATGTGAGCTTCAGGAAAATCACTTTGGTGGCTGAATAGAGGATAGATTAGAGTGGGGAGAGACAATGAGACAGGAAGACCTACCAGAGTACTGCAATAATGCAGGCATGAGAAGATGAAGCACTGCCCTAGAGTGATAGCAGTGTCTGAGGAGAGGAGGGTGTATTTGAGGGATATTGCAAGGGTGAATTCTACAGGTCTTGGCAACAGCTTGGACATGGAGGCTGAGAGATAGTGAAGGTGTAGGGTGACTCCTAGGTTGCTAGCCTCAGGGACTGGCTCAATAATCAATTGGTATACTTGCATTATCTAGTATAATCCCTCAATAACATTTTCTTTACTGTGTTCCCCAAGCAATTTTGCTTTCCCCTAGTGACTACTTAAGTGATTAAGTGATTATTCTATTCTTTCTCAAAGTCTTTACATCATAACACTCCAAGTCAAAAGATAATAGATTCTATTAAATCTATCAGGTTCAGGAGAATGGAATTGAGCAATCATCCTCAAACCTACCCTATTTTAAAAAAAAAAATTTTAAATATCACTCACTGTATTTTTTTAATCCCAGAAAATAGAAATTATTTGATAGATCTCCTAAGTTCTAAAAAACGGGGGGTTTAAATTTAAATATTATTTCCATATGTATAAGATTTTCACATACTACTCATTTATAATTTTCAAAGCACTTCCACAATCTTACTCACCCTTAATACAGTGCACATTATTATGAACCTAGCAGTTACAAAAGTGGATTGTTTCAAAGACATCTATGAGAACTTTACTATCATGAATTTAGAGCTTTATAAAAATCTAATGGTACATTTTTAGTAACTATCAAGTAAAAAAAAAAGTGGTATAGTTTAAGATGTCCTTATAAACCAAAAAATCATATTAAAAGCCACATGAGTAAAGAAAACTTTTCTCAGATATGAAAGGGACAGTTCTTTGCATTATTCTCCAAGCTCATCAGCAAAATCTTTCAGTGATGAAGCAAAACATCTCTTGCTAACAAGCATTATTATATACTGTTCATTAGTTGATTTGTATATCAATAAGAACAAGAGGAAGGACTTTAGTAATCATCTAATCCTACCATACCTATACACACACACACACGCACACACGCGCACGCACACGTACACAGAGGAAAGAGAGAAAGAAGAGAGGGAAAGAGAGAAAGGAGAGAGAAAGGACAGAAGAGAGGGTACAGTCATTCAATAAATATTTGTTGAATCAAAGTAGGTAATGTCCTTCATTTCACATATATGAGCAAATTGAAGCTCAGAGATTAAGTGATATACCCAAAATCACATAGCTAATTGGTTACAGAGCCAGGACCAGATGCTAGATCTCCTAACTCCTAAACTACAGTGCTATTTCCACTAAAACAGGACTGCTTCAGGAAGTATACTGCTACTTGTAACTTCAGGTGAAGATAAATACAGATTCCCTCCCACTCCCATAATCAAGATGACTTTACTAACTTGTTGATTCACCAACATGAAAAATTTAAGCAGTTACCATAGGGTATGTACCTTTCTGCAAGCAGGACAAAGTCCATTCTCATCAGTGCGAATACGATGCCAACAGAAGCGGCAAATTTGGTAGCCACAAGTGCAAGGGAAAAAGTTGATATCATCGATCTCTAAGGGCTCCATGCAAAGGGGGCATTCCACAGGGTCTTCCTTTGCATCGGGACTTCGAGACATCTTCACGTGTATACACAGCAGCAAAAAAAGTTTATAATAACTTAAGGGAGAAGGAAGGTCAGCACTGAAAATAAAATGGAGCACTCTGAAGACCTGTGAGAAAATCAGAAAAAATACAACAAAAATTAATTGTGCATGTAAAACACTGAAAACTATAAGTTTTACCTAAGTTGTAGCTTTACAGAGTAAATGAGTTAAACAATTTTTGCATTTGATATAAGAAGTGAAAGCATGTATTACATCACTAGCATATAAATCTGAGATCAAAGGCTAGGTATGGAGAGAATTAGGGGGAAATTGGCTCTGTGGAATTATTGCATAAAATAGAAAGCTAAAAAAAACCTCAGCATTCCTAACAAGATTTAGAGAATACTCAAGCACTATACTGACATATCTCAAGGGAAGATAGGAGATGAACAGGCATCATCTGTCTTAAGCCTTATTCCTCAATGTCTCAATAACCTTTTACTTTATGGTAGGATTCTCATAAGTGAAAAACAAAATACATAACATATCTAGACATATCATTAAATCTATAAGCACATATAAGAACATGCTAAGCATAAACTGGTTAACTTCTAAGATTCATTGCAACTATATTAAATATTGAGAACTACAGTCTGATAAAATAGGTATATTTAATGTATATGCCTTCAAACTGCTTATACACTAAACATGCTTGGACATGTCATTGGAAACCAATGACCCACATCATTATTTCTGATTCACAAAACGGAAAGCTTATGTGCAAAAACAAAAAACAAACAAAACAAAAAAAACTCCAAAGGTCACACTGTAAATCAAAAGAAATGAGGAAAAGAGATAATAGCAAAATGTAACACACCTGATCCCACTACCATCCAAAACACTTTTTTAAAAAATGACTTCAGAAAACTTTAAGTGTGACCTGTGGGCAAAGATAGCATATCAGAGGTACAGAATTGAGGCATACATTTTCAGTTGTGGCCAATGTGTTTATTTGCTTTGCTTGACAATACTTATTTATAACAAGAGGGGGTAGGAGGAGGGGAGGAGAAGAGGCTAGTAAGCAGTGGAAAGTGAAAGTGTGGTTAAAAAATGGATCTTTTTAAAAGATCTTTTTAAGTGAATTAACTTCCTACATAAGAGTTAACAAGGGCAGCTAGGTGGCCCAGTGGGTAGAATGATGGGCCTGAAGTCATGAAGAATGATTTTCCTAAGTTCAAATCTGGCTTCAGATGCTAGCTGGGTGACCCTGGACAAGCCACTTAACCATGTTTGTCTCGTTTCCTCCTCTGTAAAACGGGCTGGAGAAGGAAATAGCAAACCACCTCAGTATCTTTCCCAGGAAAACTCTAAATGGGGTCATGAAGAATCAAACAGGACTGAAAAACAACTGAACAACAATAACAACGTATCTGCCACTTAGTATAGTGCAACCTTGGGTAAATCACCTAGCCTTAGAGGCTGGTAGGTGGCACAATGGATTAGAGTTTCTGGGCCTAGAGTCAGGAAGACTTGAATTTAAATCTGGCCTCAAACACTTACTAGCTGTGTGACCCTGGCAAATCATTTAACCCTGTTTGTCTTAAGTTTCCTCATGTATAAAGTGAGCTGTAGAAGGAAATGGCAAACCACTCCAGTATCTTTGCCAAGAAAACCTCAAATGGAGTCAGGAAGAATCAGACACAAGTAAAATGACTGAACAACCACAAAAAAGAATTAACAAAACACTGGTAGTATACTTTAGAGAAAACTTGAATTAAAAATCTGGTTTTATCAGAGAACTAAAAAATACTTATCTTTTCCTTTTAGCAACAATCTATGCCATTATACCATAGAACCAAATCTAAGCTCAACAGACGGAAAATTCAACTATATCATTTAGGGCTCATGTAATACACTTGCAATCTACTTTTGAGAGGTAGTCAGTCAACAATCACTTAACGCAACAAAGAGATTTTTGTAAAGTAATTTAGGGAGTAGCTATCTCCTATGCATTTTCCTGAGTTCAAATCTGGCCGTCTCAGACACTTACCAGCTGTGTGACCTTAACCAAGTCACTTAAACCTGTTTGCTTCACTTTCCTCATCTATAAAATGAGCTGGAGAAGGAAATATCTTTTTAGGACACGTATCTCTCTGCAAGCAGGACAAAGTCCATTCTCATAGGCTTGAATACAATGCCAACAAAAGCAGCAAATTTGGTGGCCACAAGTGCAAGGGAAAAAGACTGTTATCATCAATCTCTTAGAGCTCCATGCAAAGGGGGAATTCTGCAACATATCCCATTCAGGGAATGTTCTCCCTCCTAATCTCCATCTCTCAGGCTGCCCTAGTTTCCCACAAGTCCCAGATAAAATCCCATCTTCTACAGGAAGGCTTTCTGATCCCTCTTAATTCTATGGCCTTCCCTCCACTGCTTATTTTCAATTTATCCTATATACAGCTTGACTGTATATAGTAGTTTTCATGTTACCTCCCCAATTAGAGCTCCTTGAAAGCAGGAACTATCTTGTCTTTCTTTGTATCCCCAGTGCTTAGCACAGGACCTGACAAATAGTAGGCACTTAAAAAATGTTTACTGACAGAGAAGAGGACTATGAGACAAATTGAATACACTTTCTAGCAATCTCATGAGCAGTACTGCTTTGCGTTTTTGGTTGTCCATGGTATAGTTTTATAAGTTTAGGTGACTACTTGGATGGTAGTGGTATGCATACCAAGTAAAGATTAGGACATGGTACAAAAACTCAGGCAAGAGGACATATTTTATATAATTATTACAATGGAAGAATGTCACGCATTTGTCTGATGAATGTGATCAAATGAATTCCAAAATTGGAGAGATAAATGATCTAAAGGGTACCAGACTCAGAATAAACAATACACAAGTTCAAGTCACAACTCCAGTTATTCAATGTATGACCATGGGCAACTTCCAACTTCTTTGAGCTTGACCTCATTTGTAAAATGGAGATAATATGTACATTACCTGTCTTGGAGTATCGGTGAAGAAAATGCTTTGTAAATGATAAAACACTACATAAAATAAGCCAATTATTATGCAACCAAACTTGGAAAATCCAATTAGTAGCACAAAAAAGGAAAGAAACACAAAACTGAAATTGGAACTATAGCCAAATCTCTTTGGAAGCTATCACTAGAGCCAGAGAGAGAATAACAGACTCAGTTCGAGGAAATCTTATCATATAGCTGAGAAAAGACAGACAAGAAAAAAGTTTCTACTTTCTTTCCTAAGTCTGCTCTCAGTCAAAGTAAACTTCATACTATTTCTCAAGGACACTATAAGTTTTCTCACCTTCATCCTTTCACTCAAACTATTATGTTTCTAGAATGTCTTACCCTTTTATCCTCTTCCCCACAGACACCATGTTGAAATACAACCAATTCTATTAGCTTACCAAGATTCATAAAAAGAGACCCAACCATTTATAGAAAAATGTCCTTTGTATATGGCTGGAATGAAGCAAAATAATAAACATCAATAATTCCCAAATTAAGTTACAATAAATACAAATGAAAACACTAACAAGTTACTTTATAGGACTGGATAAAATAGTAATAAAATAAATATGGAAGAACCAATGGGCTGCTGAGGGCAAAAAGGGAGAAATCAATTTTCTACTCCAAAACGTATTAAAAAGCTGTAATGAATGATAATCGAAACTTCCCAAGTCCAGAACAAAAGCAGATTAATGAATCTGGAAAAAAAGAGGCCATAAACTAACCAAATATACTCGAATCACTGAGGCTTTTTTTTTTTTTAGTTTTAGTGAAGTGTTTTGGATTTTGCACCAGTCATTTCTTAAACATTCCTCTACCCCACTGAACCCTTCTTAGTAACAAAGAAAAACAACTAATCAAAATTAACTGACAAAGTAATACATGACATGCTGCACCCATAGTTATCCACCTCTCCACCAAGATAAACAAAATATACCATACCATCTGTACCACAGAAATAAGTAGATCAATGCAATAAGCTCAGTTCAGCTGATCTATATGTTTTTACTTACATTACCTGTAAATGCTCTTTGTGTACTTTTCTTTTTTTTTTGTTTGTTTTTTTCTGGTAAGGCAATTGGGGTTAAGTGACTTGCCCAAGGTCACACAGCTAGTACATGTCAAGTGTTTGGTCTGACGTCACATTTGAACTCAGGTCCTCCTGACTTCAGGGCTGGTGCTCTATCCACTGCGCCACCTAGCTGCCCCCTACTTTATGTACTTTTCCCTCCCCATTCTGCCTTCTTTGCTCTTAATTGTACTAATTAATACAGGTCTTCAAATATTTCGAGAGTCTATGTTTAACAGTGAAAAAACAAGTTGGCATAGGTAGTGAACAGAGTCAGCCTTGAAATCAGGAAGATTTTTATTCAATCACATCTTGCTTCTGACATATACTGTTTGTATGATCCCTGACCAAATCAATTAACCTCTCATGCTCTAGACAACTCTCTAAGATTATAAAATGTACAGAAGGTGAAAAGCTACACTTGCAGGTAAAGAGAATTTCCTAACCCAGGCGTTCCCTACAGAAATCACAGGTCCACTCTCTTTTACTATTTTCATTCTCCCTCCTATCAGACAGGGAGGAGGCAGACAAAGAGGAAGAGGGACAGGGTGAGAGAGATATATACTTGTCACTAGAAACTTTCTTAATATGTTCAGGGGCAAAACGTGGATTTCTTCTCTATTCCCACTATTATTAGATAAAGTTTTTCAGAAATTCTAGCAACAGAAAGGAGACGAGAAAAATTAAAAGTCATCACTATCTCCAAGTTTTAGAAAATCAATATCTTAATCTACCACTTTTTATTTTAAATTTCTATGATAGGGCCTGATATTCAACACAGAGAGGATTAATGCAAATATTTAAGAGCAAGAGTCATTCTCCAATAGATAACCAGTTAAAGGATATGAAAAAAATTCTCAAAAAACAGCAATTAACTATCATATGAAATCACTAAAAAAAAAGGCAAATTAAAATAACTCTTAATTACCTTGCACACAGTAAAGATGTTAAAAGCCAATGTTTGAGTGGGTTGCAGAAAAACAGGCACACTCATGGTTCAATCATTCAGGAAAGT